AGAATTAGCTTAAGCCCAGCAGGACACTCAGCCTGCGTTGGAAGACAAGACTCTTGCCACTGCCTGTGTTAAAAGCGTGCAGACTTGTGTGGAGAAATCAGAGTGCCTCGTGGTTCCTGTGGTGGCAGTGCCTGCCTGAAAAAAACTTGACCGGCAGCTGGAAGCTACAGAAAAGTAAGTTTCTGCAACAAAAAAACATAAAGCTTTATATATTGACCAGAAAGACTGGGAAGGAAATACTTGGTTTGATTTGAATTCAAACAATGATACATCAAATTATTAAAGCCCAAGCAAACTTAAGAATCCCATCAATTATTGAAACTGAGTATGATGCTAATGGAGGCATGGAAATATCTCTACATACCCTTTCACAAACATACACCTAGCCAAATGAAGGGATTTCTATTGCAGATCTGTTACTGTGGATCACCTAGCCTGGCTTGCAAATATCAGCGGGGAACACTATTCAAATATCAGAATCAGAAGCCCATACCCTCACTTTAGGGTCTGGGATCTGACTACAGATTCCACCACAAAATACAGACTGTCTTTTGGGCATCCGCAGCTTATGTTCAAAGAGTTAAAGCGCAGAAACAACGTCTTTAACTCAGAGAGTTATAAAGCAGGTATGTTTATTACAGCGCTACGTGCAAGGGGGATCACTCCTAGCTTGCACACCGGGTCATATTCTAAAACTGTTATTAACTCCTTATTCCCCAGATCAGAGTTACTGGCTGTATGTTCACAGTGTTACTGGCTCTTGTCAACACTCTGCATTGTGCCACACATTCTCCCATTGGAGGTAAAGGCCCAAGTGCCCCTCCTGCCATTCCATCAGCTGGGGCCTGGAAACCCCAGCCTTGCATTATCCAAACTTTAAATTAGAGGTCAAATTAGCACCACAGGGGTCTGGTCAAAAAGTCACCAGTCCCTCTGAGGTGCTATGGAGGGTGCAGCTTATATGGACTTCCAATCTAGTGCTAGATGTCACCATCAACGATAAATTGTGTTTGTGTTGCCTCATTGATACAAGTGCTCAAACTTGTCATCAATAGATCACACACTGGAGCGGACCACTTCCCTAATACTGCAGTAGTCTGCGGGTTTACAGGACCACTCGTAACCCTTCCTGTAGTCACAGTCCAGTACGGCTTCCCTAATAGACGTACAGCCCAAGGATCTGCAGTTTTGGGAGATTCTAACATCTTAGATAGGAACCTGCTCAGAAGCCAAACCTTCCACGATGCTCAAGGCAAGGTACAGTATCTTGGGTCTTCTGAACCAACCCACCTGTTAGTTCCAGTAATACCTTCCCTACTTCCAATGACCCATGTTGTTAATTTACAGCAGCACCCTGTAAAACCATGAGCCCGAAACCCCATCACCCACCTCCCTTCTCAGAGGTCTGGGAGAACAGGAAGTAGTCATTCACACCCACGCCCTGTTTAGCTGCCCCATCTGGCCAGTGGGTAAACCAAACAAATGGGTCTTGGTGTCTGACCGTTGACTACTGTAGCATACATTCTGCCTCCTCTCTGCTTCCACACAACAGTCCTAAGAGGTGCTGAAGTACTCAACACCATTTGCCTTGCTTCTTACCTATGGAAGGCAGTTTTGGACATTAAAGATATGCTCTTCTGGTGCCTCATGAACTCAAATGGTCAAGGTCACTTACTCTACTTATTTACCTGAAGATTATCAGCATAGTCATACCCTTACTCATGGTCTCTTAGCCTTAGCTGAATTTTCTTCCACTCTTGATTTCTATTGCAGCCAGTATACCAATAACGTTCTCCTGGGCAGATCTACACATGAATCTTTTGCACAAGATATGACCCTCCTAGTTTCAGCTCTGAAAGAACACTGAGATCTTTCTGTTCCTCCCAGAATGTATGTGTCTCCTTGTGTGCTGGTACCAAAAGCATTCCTGAAATGATCTCGCAATCTGTTTTATGTTTACCTACTCCCTCCTCCAAATAAAACCTCCAAGGATTTTAGGCACTTTATAAATTACAGCATGCCCATGTCCCTGGTTTTAGTCAGCTAGTCCATCCTCTGTATTCCTTGATGCAAAAACATTTCACCTGGGACTGGAACACAAGTCATCAACAGGCCTTAACCTTTCTCCTAAAAAGTATTCAACAGTATCAGTATTTAGGACCCCTCACCCCTATGGGCAGATTTGAACTCAGGGTCCAGTAGAGTGGAAATGGCGCCTGGTGGTGACTGTTCCAGGAAAGAAGTTCCAAGAACCATACCCCCAAACCAATCCATTTTGGTAGCAAGGGGTGGCCAGATGCACAAGCCTTGTACTGTGAACAGAAGTGGGCTTTTCTTGCTTCCTTTTCTGACAGTGACAAACTCCTTGGGGATCGTCCTCTTACACTTAAGGGTTTTAAACTCTATTCTTCATTACGTCCTTCACAATATTGCTTTCCCTGAAGGAGGAACTCAATTAATTGCCACTCAATTCACTGCCTTCAGGCCCCACCTATTCTCACCCACCTCACTTTTCCCATTCCTGTAGCTACCAACAATCACTCAGATTTGCCAATTACATAAATTCCTCCTTTCACCACCCCACAGGAGGGCACCTGGTTTACTGATGGCTCAGCAATCCTTTGCGGTAACGCCTAGTTTGGGTGTAACAACACTGTCTATACCACTGATGGCCAAACCATTATGGACAATTGCCATGGTACTGCCCAGAAGGCTAAAACTCCTGGCCCTTTGCTTAGCCATTCACTCCTCTGCCCATACTGTCTGACCCCTGGGGTGTTCTAGGCGCACCTGGTGGCTTTCCCTCTTGGAAAGTGTGCTCCTTCTGCACTCTTTACTGCAGAAATTAGGAGACATCTTCTTTAGGACACATTAGCTGTGGGCCATGTTGACCCCATTCCACTCACCCCAGGGCTGGGGCTAGGTGGAATGACTAAGCAGATGCCACTGCTGCAATCAGAGGGGTGGAAGTGATAGTGGACACTGACACCCATGATAAGCTGATAGCAGCCCAACTGTAGCAGACAAAGCTGAGAAAACCTTAGCCCAAACCTGCAAATTGGAATGTGGAAACCACCTTGGTTGCATAAGCATTGGAGTTATCCTGCTGTTAAAGCTTTAGCCCACTGTGGAATACATCTTCAAATGTAGTGAACTGAATGTATTCAAATTGTATGGACAAACAGGAAAACCTGGCTCATGGAACCTTGCTACTTTAACCCTGGTAGGTGGAAAATCCCACAGCTCCCCAGTATAGAGCCCTTCTTTGAAAGATATTATACCTCCACAACCCAAGAGCAGAAAATCACAGTTAACTGTAGGATTGTAAACAATTCAAATGGGAGATACCTCTATATTAGTTAAGGGACCAACACATCAGTTGATCAACAATCAGCACCTTGTATGCTTATGTTAACCCTTTTGTTGCACAACCCTTCTCTTTTCTCCCTCTGTTAATACTGTATCCCTTTGGGCTAATGCTCCAATAGCTCTCTCAAGCGTAATATTATTCCTACATTTCCAAGTCCCTCTCTTATTTCCTTTCCCAAACCCACCATATCATCCGTACCCTCATCAGTACAAATTTATCTCTAATTGAATGGGGTTTGGAACAGGAAGACTCGCATCAACTACTGAAACAGGCAAAGAAGGAGGCACAACAAACTTTAATAGCCATGGTACCAGAGATCAAACAAATCCTGGGAAGTGTTAAAAATAAAAAAAATTTAAAAAAAAAAAAGGCAAACAGTTAGCAGGAATCCCTTTTAGGATGGCCTCCCACTCTTAGGGGTATATGGAACATCTTACTTCTTTACCTAGTTGTTATTCTTATTTTCAGTGGCTTCTTACATGTTTTAGTTGTCATACTCAAGATTTATACTTGGATTTTGACCTACACAGTTCTGGTGGTTTCTTGGCACGCCATCTTATTGACTGCCTTGTCTCAATTTAATCCTTCATCATTCCACTTCCAGAATCCCCTCCACACCCAACACCCCCAGTGAGGTGGGTAGTGTCAACATCTGTCTTGGCCTTATGCTGCCATGGCAAGACAACAACCCTTTCCCCCACACAGTCACAGAAGCAAGGTGTGAAAATGTGGGGCTAGTGCTGCCTCATACAGTGCCTCCCCCATATGGTGACCACACATCTTACATGGCTATAGCTCCATTTGATGACTGCACTACTCAAGGCAGCAGCCAAGCACCATTCACACAAAGGAAAATTGGCACAGAGGGAGAGCAGAGGTGGGATGTGATGAACTGGTTAGCAAGTCCAGAGAGTGCTTCCACAACTCAACTACAAAAGAGGACAGTTTGATCAGGGAATTCGGGACTCCCCATGCCTGTCAGCTCGTCCAAGTCACTCATCAGAAGTTATGCTCTGCTTCCTGTCAATCTGACTGATAATCATGGTAAGGTAGGTCGTTGTATGTCCTGACACCAAGTTTGGCCTAGTATTATTGAATTACTGAATTTACTATCATCTTGAAATAATTGTACTATTAATTTGTATTTGTCACTGTACCGTTACTCTGAGATAAAGTGTTTATCCCTAAAGCTATTGGTCTGGTGTTTACTACTGTATCCCAAAACTGTAACTTTTCCAGGCCAACTTAAGTCCCTACAAACCGCTCCTGCTTCTGAAAGTGACTGATGACTTTCTGGTTAAAGCAAACTCATCAATCAAGCATCCCAAAACCATTAAGCAACAACAACAATTTCACACCAATAGCCATCGGAAACTGGATACACACAGAAAGGAAACCAAGAAGTTTCATTATTGCTGCTTAACGCTAACAACACTGCTATATTGACCAGAGATTCGCCAAGAGAAACAATAAATCTCAGCTTTTATCCTCTGCTTTGTGAGATCAGGCAGCTGCCTTCTAAAAATCTACTCAAGTAAGTATTCTGGTATACCCTTTAATTTAATTTCACAAAGTAAAATAGAGAGTATCAAGTAAAACTGATGTCAGTCTTTTAAACTAAAGGACTCACAGGCCACTGTTCTTCTGTTGGAGTGCCCAGTGTTTCAAATATCCTTGTCAGCTGGTCAAGATCAGAGTCTCCAGGCAAAAAAGGAACCTGGAAGAAGGCAACAGCATTTATTGAATTAAGTTCTGAACTTCAATTCTGGAGAGAGGCTTTGAGCTATCCCTCATAATTCCAGGGCAAAACAACTTCGTATACCAGCTGCCCACAAAGAGGTATACTGAATATTTGAGGCTTTCTAGTGATGTCCAAACAGATTCTGAAGGTTTCTTGCAACCCAGTCTTGATATCACTGACTTGACAGCAGAGAGCTAAATACAAGATTAAACCACCACCACATTAACATAAAATAACTAAACACAGAAGAGGAAAGATTTTACATCTCGGTTGCCACTTTAAAGTTAGTTGGTCACAGTGATCTTTCCATCATCTGCTCCCTGAGGTTAAGTTTCATATATATTCAAAATATTTAAAGTTAATTGTAACTGGATTACACAAGCAGCAGCTAGAATGATGGAATGAGATCACAGCATGAGGGAGAGTAATGACCCACCAGGATAGAAACTGCCTAATCAGTGTCACATCTCATTTAAACTATGCAGAAGACAGAGAAGGGGATATTTGCCCAGTTCAAGTTGCAGCTTGCACACCAGGCACAGAATGCAAGATCAAAGCAAAATTATGAAGAATCACAGGCAGTATTTAACTAAGTAGGACAGAAAGACCATAATGAACATCCCTACTAGGCAGTGTTCTAAATTTGGTGTCATGAAAGCTCCTTTAACATCACCTGCTTCTGTAAAGCTCTCAGAAGTTGTGCTGTCCATCAACCCAGTACACACAGGAAGAAAAAGGACAGATACATTTAAAACCATCACAGCGATAAAACTGAACCATAACACATTTTCTACTTTGTGAGAAACCAAATAATCAACAGAATTCAACAATTTCTTATTTGCTTTCTGACTTTCCTTAAGTTCATCCAACTGCCTTTGCCTGCTGCTGTTAACACGAGAGAGGAATCCCACATATGAAGTTGTAATGCACTGAAGTGCAAATACCTAATGCTTCCATTTGCAGACTTACCCTGAGGAGCAATTCAGCTAAAATACAACCAACAGCCCACATATCAACACCAACACCATACATTCTAGCACCAAACAATAGTTCTGGGGATCGGTACCACCTGAAAAGAAAACACATTTTGGGAAAAATCACTTAGCTTTGCTCATGTCAAATGCTGTATATTGTAACAATGCAAGAGTTACAAAGAGGATATTGCTCCTGCCTATGTATTTTTTACACACTGAAAAGCTGTACTCTACCCTGCAAAGTGTTTTGTTTAAGAAAGACTGAACAAAATTGTGCATCCCTTACCATGGGGTCACATAGAACCACAAATTAACTACAGTTTTGACTGAGCTGATTAACAAGCAACAGAAATGCAAAGAGAAAAAAATATTCAATAGGTAGGTTTGCATATTATAAACCAAAATTTTCTTTAAACTTTACGTTGAAGAAATTACAGAAAGGTAGAATTCCTTCCAGCTTCCAAAAATCTCCATACTAACAGGCCTAAGTACAGAGACTAGTTTTATGCAAAATGAACCTTGACAGCAGTTGTTTAAAACAGCTACTTCCACTTCCTAAGAACAATCAAGTTTAATGCAATGATCTGATACACACTGCATTTGAAACTAGTGTAGCATTTCTGCCTTTTGAATAAAGGTGTTAAAACAAAATAGCTTTGCCTGGACAGTTTTAGCATTACAGCAGACAAAAGGAAATACCTTCCATATTTTGCAGTCCTGCTTTTCAACACATACTTTAAATAAGCACACCACAAATACTATTAATAAATATTCTAATTGTTTCAAGCTTCTAGATCAAAGATTCTAGGTCTCATGATTAACAGAAACTAACAGCTGTCTTGCTCTGAAATCCAGGCTTACAGGCAGATACATATTATTTCCATGCTTTTCAAAAGAGCATCATACTGCAGAACAACCCCTACGGATGCATATTCTAGCAGTTCTTATGGAGTCTTTGCTGAACAATGCTTTCTCGTGTTTTCTTTATGAGGCTCTTGCCACTACAGCCATATCACATGAGCTAGGTGTCAAACTTTGAATATGTTGATTTGGCATGATGTATTTCAAGAGACACTGCAAAACAGCTATGTAATCACTATCTAAGAAAAAACAGAATGTTTTACCTTGTTACTACCTGGTGTGTATAAACTCTGTTTGGGCTTCCAAAAGATTTTGCCAAGCCGAAGTCAGCCAATTTCAAAACCCCATTTTCGTCCAACAACAAATTATTTGGTTTAAGATCCTGTCAGAATAGAAAGTAAAGAATTAATTTTGCTAGTGTTGATAAAAATAGATATACAATGAACCTCCTGCTAGGTGTGCCATAACAGTATCCTAAAATGCAGGCTTTTGATTCTATCATAAGTCTACATTGTGAGGAAAAAAAAAATAAGACACCCAGGAAATCAAGTATTTCATCACACTCAAAATCATAGTGAAACACACACCCTTTAATATTATCATATTTAAACTGCAGAGTTTAAAAAAAACTGCTTCTTAGTAAGTTTTACCTTTGCTGCAGGAACAACAGTTCTGTCTTAACTGCACAGTTGCCAAATGAATAATAAAAAGACCTTGCAAATGTTTCAAATAACTGTAGAAATCATGGAAGTGATACAGTTTCATATGGTAGCAGTGTGTTGTGGGTTGATCTCTGGCCAGTAGGGAAGCACCCACACAGCCATTTGCTCACTCTGTTCTCATCACACCCCCCCACCCTCAGCAGAATAGACAAGAGAACAAGAGCAAAGGCAGGAAAACTCTGGGAGAAATATAAAGGCAGTTTAACAGGTGAAGGAAAGAGGAAGAAACCCAAACAAACAAGCAATGCAATGGCAATCATTCACCACCTTCCACAAGCAGACTGATACACAGATGGTCTCTAAGCAACAGGCACCTTGGAAGCCAAAAAACCCTCCTCTTCCTCTGCGCCAGTTTTTGTTGCTGAGCATGATGTGATATGGCATCCAGCATCCCTCTGGCCAACTTGGGTCAGCTGTCCCAGCTGTATCTCCTCCCCACTTCTTGCCCACCCCCAGCCTACTAACCGGGACAGGGTCAGAGTGGGGAAAAAGAGAAAGCACTGACAATGCCCAAGCACTGTTGAGCAACAGCCAGAACATTGGTGCATTATCAGAACTGTTTCAGGCACAAATCCAAAACATGGCACCATAAGGGCTGCTGTGAAGAAAGTTAAATCCATCCCAGTCAGACCCAGTTCACAGTGCTAATCAAAGATACTTGTAACTTGAGACACTTTCATATAAATATCTAAATGATAACCACATCAGTAATTCTTACCATTTCTGGTACCGCTGTTGTCTCTCCAAAACAGCTAGCATGAACGCTTACGGACCAAGAATGTCTGAATTTCTATCTTCATTAGACTTCAGACTCAAATTCTATCAAATGTGACTTGTTACAGCATGAAAGCTGTCGATTTAGTGCACGCTTACCCTGTGTAGAATCCAGTGCTGATGTAAATATTCTAATCCCTGAAGAGTCATCAACATATAGGCCTTGATGTGAGACTGTGTCAACACAATACCAGTATCCTTTATAATTACCTGTAAAGTGTTAGATTGATAGTAAATCTTACCACACAAGATTAACTTACTTCCATTTTTTCCATCTCAGAAGTTACTTAATCCTTCAAGACAAAGTTCAAATTGGCACCCATATTCTCTACTGTTCTCACCCTTTTTTCCAGAAAAACAGGTCTATTCTGGAGATTAGAAATTGAAATAGGACGTCCAGATAGCCTATGTGAACTTTGCATAACCAGCAAATGGGAAAATTGGTGGGAAACATGAGTTTATTGTTTTATCTCAGTTCCACCTTGATACTCAAACTTACAAGACACAGTAGTGAAGCTGAGAAAATCATTCTTTATTACAGTTGTACACACAAAAATGACAAATGCATCAGTAGACTTGAAATCATTTTTACGCTTACTCGTTCTTTCTCCATGCAACCTAAGCATCTAATCTTTGTAAATGCAATGGCTTCCTCTTCTATTTCCAAGATGACCAGAAGGTATGGTCACTTCACTGTATTTTTAACAAATCTACTTATCTTTACTACATTCTTTGATTTTTAACATTAAAACTCTATGTAAACATCCTGTTTGAAAGTATTTTCTACACTAGTCCCCAAAACTTGCTTGTTAATACTACTGTTCAGTTCAGCAATAGCCTTTCCTAAGCTTCAAGTTGTTTGAGACCTGTAAAATAGCTAAGACAACATAAAATTTTATGTATGCAGCACACACCCATGCAACAGTTCGCAGTCCCAAATGGCGATACAAAACAGCTAAATGCTCTACACACCACAGCATTATGTAGTACAAGAGTATTTCACTACTCTTCGTACACTGTATCTTCTTCAGCTCTAGAAGTTTCGTAGCTACTAAGTAAAGAGAATGAATCCTCTAGAAAGTCTACCCATTACTTCAACTTCTATTAGCAAAAACCTCATCTAATCTTTTCAGTTTTGCATTTATCTAGGTTTCAGCAAACTTGTCAATACTTTCTTTTAACACTTTAAATGCTAGCCCCAGTTCTTAACAGCGTACGTGTCATGAGTTAGCTTAACAACCACATGAATTTCAGTCCAGAGTAGTTATAATGTGTGCATATACAGAACGGACACGAATTGCCATCTAGTACAGCCTTCCAAAATGAAGAATCTCGCAAAGTGTCTCACACCAAGACTTCTGCAAAGACAAACTGACTTAAGGTCTTGGACAGTAAAACGTCTGTAAGATGCTGATTTGCAAGAACCTAGTGCTGCTGCATTTAAAAGAATGGTTGAGGTGCATGTGATTTTAGTACCAGCTCATCACTTTGTATACTTTAATATCACACTTACTTGAACATGTTTGATGATATTATGCTTAGCAATTGCACTTGGAGATGCTGGTCTATGACTGGGGCTCTATGCTCTGACTGGAGTTCCAGAAGACTAACATAGTAAATATAATCTGTTTCTTGAAGATCATGCTGACAAGTATTTAAAAGTAAAGGCACTATTAGCTGAGAACTCACAAAAATTGCCAAATTATTCAAACTACTTTTAATACATGATCTTAAGCAACTGACATAATGAAAGTCACCTTTCTAACACCGACAAAGGTAAGCCCATTAAAGTAGTATTTTCAAAAACCATTTGAAGATATTGAAACAAAAAGTCTTCACAAAAATCTTACCTCTAGATCCGTTTCCATAAAATCAAACACCAAACTAATATTGGACTTGTGACCAAATGCATCTAGAAGCTGTAAAACAAAATACATTATGATGAAGCATACTCTCAATTTTTTAAAAATTCCATACCACTGTAGCCTGCATGTGGATTTTCAGCTTTGCTGAACTGGGTTAAGTTTTTTGACTTGCAAAAATTCTTACTCAGTTTATCTTTTTAACTCAGTCTCCAAAAAAAAAAAAAAGACCCCATTGGCAATAACGTTTTACACAATTGCCTATCCTTCCTGGAGTTCAGGGAGGAAAAAAAAAAAATAAAAAGAGAAAGAATTAACTTTACCACATTAGCTACAATAGATTATCTAAGGCACACCTTGTACTCTCCCCAAACCTTGTTGTTCTACAAAACTCTTACCCTTTCTTGAGACTAGTTTTCCCATGGATTCAGCTCTGTGTATTTGCTTCCTGTAAGCATGCAGTACTTGGAAATTCTAAGGGTTAGGCTTATTAACTTCCTTCCTTTCAGTGATATTCTTAGGCATGTATTCATCTTCGTAGCAAGCTTTTAGGATAAATAAAACTTTTTTGGAGAATATCCAAATGGCCTTTTCTTAGGATGAAGCTGTATAACAACAGAATCAGTTTTTAACTTGAGATAACACAAGCGTGATGCTGAGCAAGAACAACAGACCACCTAGCCTGGTATTCTACCCTCAAGATCAGGAACGTATGCTCTCCATGGTGAAGCTCACTCCTTACAGTCTCAGTTCAACGACAACGATGTGAATTACCCAATTGTAAGACTGGTTTGCATAGTTCATAACAGCAGTGACTGTACTTATGCTCTTCCTCTACAGAAGCCATGGTTACAGGAGATACTATGCAGGTGACCCTACAGGCCTGGCCACTTTTTGTATTTAATGCCCCTTTCACCTCCAACATCCACAACAGTTTTATCAGGACTGCTGAGAGAGGTGCAACCTTGTCTATCGCCTTTAGTACCTGCTTACAGACCTGCTGATCCTAAATTTGTCCAATTCCTTTTTGAACTGCTTCTACAATGCCTGTGGCAACACGTTAAAGAAATTCACTACACATCGTGTCAAGTAGTACAATTTCCACCCCTCTCATCCCCCACACAAATATGTTTTAAACATATCTCTTATTTCTAGTGCTGTGGTGCTTTGCAAATACCAGTTCTTCATGGACTTTACCTACCACCTCAGTTTTGTAGACCTCACCGTTCCCAGCCTCTTTCTCTCCAGAGCAAAGAAACCCAGACTTTTTCATAAAGATGCTCCCCATCCCTTTGTCATTATAGTTGTCTTTCTCTGTACTTTCTCTAACTTTGACAGCTAAAGCAACCACTTTGAAAGCAAGTTCACAATTCAGAAGAGAACCATATTTCCACTCTGAAAAAGTTAAATAAGATATCTGGAAAATTAATATTTGGTCTAACATTTATGGCAGACCTTCAAATTATCACCATTAGCTAATTTTAAAATATCTTTAGCTTCAGCTGGGAATCTGTAGCTGGAAGTCAGCCTAAATGCAACTGAAAAGATACAGGTTTTATGCCTTCCAAACAGAGGTTTTAGGTATCAGCGCTAAAACCTAACAAGCCACATGAATCTCACTTTGCCATTGTTTACAAAAGCCTGCTTTTGGCTGTCACCAGTTCCATTTGGAGCAACCAGGTAAATTCAGCACTGCATTCACTTGCAAGTCTGTCAGAGAGATGCAAAAATCAAATAATCTAAATTTCTACAATTCTCCCCACCATTAAGAGCCACACAGTCCCAGTAAGAAGTAAAAGAATTTCAAAAGAAACTGCTTTGTCTTTGTTATCAAAATAGGTCTTTTGCCATAACAATTGTTTTACTGCCCATTTTGTGTTGGGAAAAATAACTCAAAATTAAGTAGCACCTCCATGACCCAATGAATTCTCAATTTCAGTTTGAACCTGTACCAAAAGTATTTGACAACTGTTTCTAGAAATAGCATTCATTTTACTTACACCAATAATATTCGGATGGCTTAGTTCCTGTAATAATTTTATCTCCCTAAGGGCTGTTCTGATTCCTAAATAAAAAAAAAAAAAAAAAAAAAAAAAAGAAAAAAAAAAAAAAGACAGAAGAAAATTTAAAACTTTGGATTAAGCTCCAAAGAAATCTCTCATTATTTTACCCACTGACAATTTACTGCGACAAACTACTTTCTCACCACTCAATAAATGGTTAGATAACAAGTACATTGCCATAAATAAGTAGATTCCTGCAGAATAAAAGCGGACACACACACTTTCTTCCACAACACATAAATTCTACACCACAGTAATCAGATTCAGATTATGAAGCAACATGTTCCCCTTTTGGCAAAAAGGGAAAGTTCTAGCCAAAGCC